GTATTTTTGGGTTGAAAGTTCATACGTAGGGGTTTTTTAGCATTCTAAAGTGATTGGAAAGGTTTGATTGGTCTAGATGTGTTTTGATCAGGTGGATATTGGTTATGAGTGCTTTAGGCTAACRAGAGGGGTCGAAATGGAATCTTTGTTTAATGTGAGGGTAAATAGGGGAATTTTGGGTTTATATTTTATGGGTAGGTGTTTTGGTGTGTCCATAGTCTAACTATGGTGTATGATCAGCTCAGAGGGTCAAGATYGTAGAAATTTGAGTCAATAAAGGGATATGAAATGGAATCTTGGTTTGATGGAAGGACAAATGGAGAAATCTAGGATTGCAAATTTATGGGTAAGTGTTTTGATGTATCTAGAGTTTAATGGTGTGATTTGATCGTTTTGGATGTATCAATAACAAGGGAATCTGGGTTCTAAATGTTTAGGCTAACAAGAGGAGTTAAAATGAAATCTTTGTTTGATTGGGGGGTAATAAAGGAATTTTGAACTGAAATCTTATAAATAGGTATTTTGGGGGGTCCTAGGTCTAATGGTTGTCTTGTCTGAGGGTAAAAGTAGGGGTCAATCGAGGCCATCGAATAGGTATCGGACAAGTTTAATGGTGGATTTAAGGGTTTTCGGGGTGAGATTTAATTATTTTTTTGGGTGTTTGGACATTTCAAAGAGATCGGAATGGTCCGATCAGATGTTCAAGGTGAATTGGGGTTCAGGCGGCAGACTGAACAAAAATCAAGTATAACAAGGATAACTACAACCGGTTAGGACAAGAAATGAACTTCAATAAATCTAGCATTTATTTCAGTTCCAATACTTCGAGGTGACAACGCCACTTAATTGCATCTTATCTCAATGTTACTTTCATAAAGCAAGATGATAAGTACTTGGGCAATTTCATTCTAAAGCCTCGCGACACAAATCAGAGTTGGTCTTTCTTCATTGACAAGATGCAGTAGAAGCTCTCTAGTCGGAAATCTCACACTCTATCTTACACTGGTAGAGCAATTCTCATCAAATCTACACTAGGATCAATTCCTTCTTACTTTATGCAAAGTACCAAAATCTTAGTTGCCACTTGTAAAAAATTGAATAGTTTGGCTCGTGACTTCTGGTGGAGAGGTATTAAAGAAAAGAATTGTTGCTACATACGAGCTTGGTCTTGTTTCAACTGACCAAAAAATGAAGGCGGTTTGGGCTTTAGAGATTCAAACCTTATCAACTTATGTTTCTTGATGAAGCTGACTTGGTGTTTCTTAAGAGAAGAAGGAAAGCTGTCGGTGCAGGTCCTAAAATACAAATATTTAAAGAACCCAAATTTCTGGTCTATCAATCCGACATTCACATCCTCTTTGCTTTCGAGAGATCTTCTATCTTTGTAGGGAAGATATGCTGAAAGGCACTTACTGGTTAATTGGTAATGGGTGGAGCATTAATGTTTGCGATGATCCTTGGTTACCAACTGCACAAAAGGCTGCAACTTGGGATAGGTTGGCCCAAACCCAACCCAAAAAGGTCGGATTGGGTTGGTAAGGGTTGATGCTTGGGTTAGGGTTTATGGTTGAAATTTATGAACCCGACTCTATAGTACATATCATATATAAATATATGATTATATCATACATTGATTTGTTTAGATGCATGATAGTTGTATAGCCACCACCACATACTATCATTTATTTCATTTAAGATAGTCACTTCCCTTAATCCTAATTGGAAATACTAAATTATATCATACATTGGTTTCTTTATCTCTTCTGTTTTATTTGTCACCCATAGCTTGCTTCCCATAAAAGATCTWTTATAAGTCACAAGTCATAATAAACTATAGACTATAGTCATTTCAAACACTTTTCTTCCCTTTAATTTTGTACTTAAAGAACCAATAAAAACATCAATAAACAAATACTAATAAAACATAGAATTAATATATGTGATGAAAGTTGAGTTAAGATCTAAGATTAAGATGTTCATGGTAAGAAGGTTGGGTTGGATTGGGTTAGGGTTGAAGAAATTTAATTAGGGTTAGAATTGGATAGATCGGATTGGATTAGGGTTCAGATTGGGGGTTTAAAACTTAAGATTGGACTAGGGTTGGCCTCAGCCCAACCTAACCCAGTCCGACTTGCAGTCCATTCTACACACAACCACAAAGCTACCCCTCTTACTTCAAACACCAATATAAGGGTGGCCACTCTTATCAACCCAAGTACCAATACTCGGAGAGATCTGGTGTGTTCTTTATTTGAGGCTGATTCGGCGACTGCCGTTTTGAAGGTAGATATTCCATTCCATGACTTATCACTACCAAATGCATTAATTTGGATKYTAAATCCAAAGGGTGTGTTTACTTGCAAATCAATTTACAAGCTACTATTACATAACACTTCTAGTACCTCACCTCAGCACATGGCCACTCTTATCTCTCTTGCCAAATCTTCTGGAAGCTGAACATACCATCACCTCGTATCCACCTTTTTCTTTTTGGCGATGTATTGTCGGAGCCCTACCTATTAAAAAAGCAATTCAGAGATGTTGGCAATCTATTGATCCCACATGCGTTATCTATGGTTACGAAGATGAGAGTGTTGAGCATTTGCTCTTTTCATGCCCAACGGCCCAACAAATTTGGTTTGCCTCTAACATGGGGTTAAGAACTGCAACCCATATAACTGAAGCTTTCCTCTCTGGATTGAATGGTGGTATAAGTTAGAACTTGATGGGTTTAAAATCTGGAAGGAATACGTGACGGATACTTATTTGAGAATGCCACTTTTGATCATATGCGTGTTATTCAAGCGACCCGGTCTCTATACAATTCCTACCTCAATCTCTCCATTGGACAATTGCCACCGCTTTCGGTTATAGATGCCCCTCTTATCCCTATTTATTGGAGCAAGCCACCCTTTGGAAAAATTAAAATAAACGTGGATGCAAGTTTTAAAGATCACCGGCGTGTAGCTGGTTGTACTGTTCGGGACCATAATGGAAACTTCTTGTTTGGTCAAGCCTCTCGTATTGAAGCATCTTCCCCTCTTGTTTTTGAGGCACAAGACTAGGCCCCCCCAAGTTGGGTTGGTTCAAGCTCAAGGTAGGCCCCCCCAAGTTGCACCCCTAGACCCAAAGAACCAACTTTGGTTGGCTGGTGTGGAGCTGTCCTGGATTGGCGTTGTTGGAATTGGAATTGACTTGAAATAAATACAAATATACTTTGATATAAAGATTTGAACCCAAGTGCTCATGGTTACATGGACCATGGTCTCACTTAACCATTGAGCCTAAATTGATAATTGTCTTCAATTTAATATTTAAATGTGTATAATAGGTAATGTAAAAAGTAATATTTATAAAATTGAAATTACAATGATAAGTTTTAAACTATATATTAATATATTACGATAATCTAGGATTCAATCAATAAAGGCAATATAGGTTTTGAACTATATTATTATTATTATTATTATTGATGAAATTCAAGTTTAAACTTTTATAAATTTACATCTATGTTATATAAAGTGGATGCTTGCTTTAGCTTTGATCCACGTAATGCAAGTTAGATTTGATTATACAATGTTAACTATTAATTTTAATTTTTATTTGCACACATGCATGATAGATGCCTTTACATTAATCAATCTTATTTGATTCTTAATTGAATGTTTATTTATTTATTTTTAAAGAAGAATGTTCCATTAAGTAAAGAATAAATACCATGAACAAACCATGGAACCAATCTGGATAGAATAGGATCTAGTTCTAAAAACCTAGAATTAGCCCATATAAAGTAGGTTGGAGGTTGTACCTTGAAATTGAATAGAACTAAGGCTGCATTTGGCATTCCTTATTTTAAGGATTTATCAGGATCTGATCTGCTCTTCACAAAGTGCACCTCACACCGACCTCACAACATGTTTCAACTGTACATCTGGAACATCTCCCCATAAATTAAAAATTTACAAATACAAAATGTCTCGGATGTACAACTGATACCTGCTGTAAGATCGATACGGCACTTTATAAGGAGCAGATCCAAACTTGGATTTGTCTCTTTTTAACTGTTAGTTGTTAAAAACTGTGTTAATGAAAACATTTTAACTGAAAAAGGAGATAAATCCTTAAATTGAAGAATGCCAAATGCAGCCTAACCCATCCTCCCTCCTATAATACTCCTGTCATGTAAACCACATAAAATGCAATACCTCCGTGCACGGATAAGTCATATGCTTGCTTGGTGAAAAATCCCAAGAGCCCAAATTGGCTGTCAGTCATTTATTTGAAAGGTTGTCTGCTTCAGCCCTTTGAATAGCTTGTCCAAAAAGCAGTTAACTAGCTTAGTAAAATAGCTTAAGCCGTATCTTCAACTCAAACCTGCCAAGCGGGTCCTTCAGTTCAGCCGGTTAAGCTGTTATCAAACGCCTTGGCTGAAATAGGACCTAGAAGAATCCATTTCTTTAACTCGTCTGATCTCTGACCGCATGCTCCAAGCCAACATCAACGCAATTTCTCCTGTCTCTCCCTCTCTCTCTCTCTCTCTCCAAAGAGAGATGAACCGACTCATCAGAACCTCTCAGCTCAAAACCCTAGTAATATGAACTCATAAAGGGACGATTCAAGAATAAGAGAAAAGATAGAGATAACCGAGATATCACGTAGAAATAGATTGCCTGAGAAGAAAACCAGAACAAATCAGAAATTAAAAGAAAACTTGGCTTTCGTCGTCTCTCTTCCTTTCTCTTACTTTCGGAATCCAATTCTTTTCTGCAACCAAGTTCTAATCGGTACGTTCTTTTCTTTTCTTCTTTGTTAATCACTCTTATCTCTCTCTATCGATTAATCTTCTTTGCTTTGTGATTCTCTTGATAAACCTGGAAATCATGGCGTGGAGGTTAGGGTTAGGGTTAGGGTTAGGGTTTTCATTTTCCGTTTTGACATCGGTTCTTCTCGGATTTCTTTTTGGAACCTCTTTCAATCTCAGTGTCTTGAATGTTTTCCTGTTGTTGATCTTTTCAATGGGATGCGGCGGGCTTTTGAGCAGTTTATTGCACTATATGCTTCCTAGAAAGAGAGCTGTTGGAGGAGAGGTAGTAGACGACGACAATCACACCACGGAAACTTTGTTCAAGAAGCCTCGGATCGATTCCTTGATCTCATCGTCAGCTGCCACCGGTGCCGCAGCAGCCACGGACAACAACAGAAATAACAACTACAGTAACGACAACAACAACATCAACAACAACAGCAGCAACCACAGCGGCAGCGACATCATTAGACCGCCAACCATGGCATTGGATGATGGAAATCCGCCGGACATTGACGAGGATCTGCACAGCCGTCAGCTTGCCGTTTATGGCCGGGAGACGATGAGGCGCCTCTTCGCTTCTAACATTCTCATCTCAGGGATGCAAGGCCTCGGAGCTGAAATCGGTGTGTCTTCTCATAGATCTTTTCCATTCCGCTAGATTTTGACTTTGACATTGGATTTTTACGGATATTATTGCCTGATCTAGTTATTGGTTCACTTGTTCGTGCTAGATCTTGGTTATTCTTTGTCCCCAGAGTTAATTTGTTTAATAGTTTATACTCCCTTTGCATCTACGTCTGTTTTCCATTAGCCTGTTTGTTGGTCGGGATTCTGTAATCTTGTAGTTGTGTTCTGCATAATATTTTTGTTGGGTGGATGTCATTGTGGGCTGGGTAAAGATCATTTCTTGATATATTACGGTTGGAGTCACGCTAAGAAATTCCTCAAGGGTCAGGAACTGAAGTTCATGCCATGATTCTTGATCCGTGAATTAGTACTTCTACCACCATGGCCATAAAAATGTAGTCCTTTTACCATTTTGGGGGTTTGTATTGAATTTATTACGAGACAGAGTTCGTGGTTACATCTGTTCAATTTTCAATTCTACCTTTCTGTTTTTTTTTTTTTTTTTTTTCTTGGTGGCCTAATGTAACCTTTGCTTTCTTGCAGCAAAGAACCTTATTCTCGCTGGTGTGAAATCTGTGACCTTGCACGATGAAGGGGAAGTTGAGTTGTGGGACTTGTCCAGTAACTTCATTTTTTCTGAGGATGATGTGGGGAAGAATAGGGCTCTTGCTTCTGTCCAGAAACTGCAGGAACTGAACAATGCCGTTGCGATTTCTACTTTAACCACTCCATTGACTAAGGAGCTACTTTCTAATTTCCAGGTACTTTTACTAATATATTTTTGCTTAGAGCTATATCTTTCTTACTCATTGCTTTGCCCAATTTTATCAAATTCACCATCTTGAGTTTGATCTACTACTATTATTTGTGATGACTATTCCAGAATTTTTTGAGTTCCAAAGAAGTTGTAGTTTCACATTTTTTGGTCTTGAATGATCTGGTTTGTGCAGTTGCGTTTAGATTTTTTACCTAACTTGTTCTGCACTATTCTACCTTGTCTCACCGTCCTCTTTCGCTCAACTTCTCATCCACTTCTTATATATTACAGTCTTAATGGATAATTAAATTTAGAGAAAAGAGATCCACCATCCACATATGCCATTTATTCATTTGGGAAAGTTGGATTTCTAAGAAATCTGGTTAACTTGTGGTGTAGAAAAGTGTCTTAAGTGTATAGAAGTTCAAGTTGTAGATATTTATAACATTATAGGCCCAATAGAACTAAAGGGGTGTACTCCAGCAAATTGTTTTTTTTTTTTTTTTTTTGTTGAGTCCCAAAAACAAACCAAAACCAACTGGTTGGAAAATAAATTGGTTCATAAAACAAAACACAGAAAAGATGCTCTTAGGTTGTATATGTGTTTTCTGTCTTCAAAACTGAAACCGAAAATGAGTTCTTGAATTTCTGGTTTGAAGAACATGTTTTCATTTAATGATCTCATTTTGATATCATGCTTTTTAAATCATATGATATCTGTACTTCAAAATTTGTTTTCATTTTAAAATCTATCATTTTGATGGTTTCAAAAGCATGAATGGGTTTTTAAAACAAAACTAACCTGTTTTTGCTTCTCAAAATAAAAACACTGTCTAAGAACATGTCAATCTTTTTGTTGATGTGACATTTTTAAAAGTAAACGAAAACAAAAGCATTCATGTTGTAGAACACCTAAATGGAAAATGAGTTTCTGTCTAAACTGGGTTCACATTATGCTCCATCTTTATTTTCCAGTGAATAATGGATACATTACACTGCTACATATTCATGTAAAGAAAATGACTTAGTTGTAAACAAATGAGGTCAAATTACTGCATGCATTTCACTTGTTTGCGTTATTCTGTTAAGTACAAAATTATGAAAGCACTCTGAAGACAATGTTTGGAAAGTGCAAATTGTTTTCAAGTTGATATAGATGAATATAAAATATGTAGCACTCTTGGCAACTAAAAAGGAAGCTAGTGGCCAAGTCATATCTGGAATGCCTTTGATGCTTCAGTTATCTTTAACGAAGGATATGAAGAACCCTATGGAATTATTACAGTTGGGTGGAAGAAGTTTATATATTTTCTTATGTGTTATATGGCTGATATAGATCAATAAAATTGGAAAGAAAATTCTGTGAGATGGTTACAATGCATACTATGCTCTATATAGAACATTGGGCAAACAAGAATGTAACCATTATAATATGAAGTAAGCACGATAGAGATGGTTAGATATATTTAGGCCTTGCAAGAGATGATGGTATTGGATATCAGTGAGCACCAGGGAGTCTCAGTAGTTAATAAGTAAGGCATGTGTTACAGGGTGAGCAATGTTTTCAGTTTGCATTACTGGTTTTGGTTCAGTTTTTTTTTTGGTTTTTCAGTTTTTCATGAGCACCCCTAAATAAGGAGTGTTGGCTGAGATGATTTGATGACAGGAATGGTGACCAAATGTGGTTCCAGTGGAAGAGTGATTTGATGCTTATTGGAGGCTTTGAAACAGCTAAGGGTTAGGTGGAAAGGCCATTGTTTTGAAAAGGTGATGATGATTTTGTAGGTTGATGACTTCACAAAAATATATGGCCTGAAATAGGTACATACAAGGATTAAAATATCGATATGAAATGCCCAAAGCAAGGTGTATCGTATTGGTATCGCTGTACCCAGATATGTTTTGATACACCGATACACATTTTTTTCAATGTTTAAAGGCTCCCAGCTCTCTTCCCCAACCCCCTGATCATTACAAAATAAAAAGAAAAAGAACAAATAAAAAATGATGAGTATAGGCCATGTCAATAATATGTATCGGGTGTATCAATATTTTAATCCTAGGGTACAAAATAGTGGAAGAAGATTCATGCAGCATAATGAGATATTTTAGATAGGGCCTAGATTATGATGATGTTATTATTAATTCCAGAATCCGAATATCACTTGGAAATTTCCTGGTTTCACTTTGTGAGCATGTAACTCCTGGCTGTTCTTGAAGCATTTGTTTTATTTCAATATGGTACCTGAATGGTTAATATCTTATTGGTTGAGGTTGCAATACTTGTGAAACTAGTCACCTATTAATGGTTGCTTGACAAAGTATCGGAAATTTCACATAGTTAAGGCGTTAGCCAACGGATTCTGATTTATATCGTAGAATTAGGTGGAGCTTGCAACCTAATTATTGTTCATTACTTTTTAATATGAGGCATAAAAGACAGAAATCATTACATGAAGATTATGCCTTTTTTTTAATGTAAATAGCAGTGAGCAGTGGGGGATAATAATACAGTGTTTCATAAATGACATGAAAAGTAAAGGATTATATGTATATTTTAGTGCAATACTCTCATTTTTGGAAACAGAATTATGCCTAAACAATTGCTGTAGAGTTGTACGATAAATAGGGCTGTACATGGGTTGGTTTGGTTCTGTTGCACATAGGTCTGTCAACCAAACCAAGCATATCGGGTTGGCTACCATGCCAACAAAACCAACTGAAAGGAAAAAAATCTGGCCTGTAATAGAAATTACTGGATGGTCGATTCAGTTTCAACCAAACCAAGACCTCTTATTCTTGATTGGACTTGGGCTCATGACCCACGTAACTTTTATCCGTTCCTGGTGATAAACTTATCTGTCAAAACTTCCCAGTTCACATCAGTCATTGCTAATATAGTTCCAATGAAAACATTCTTTTTTAGGTACAACTGTACAAGCATAAGATTACTGATTTAATAAATGTATTCCAAGATTAGAAAAGTGATCTGCTCAGACACAGATCAGCATACGAAGTTATTGTTCAAAACACAGTAGTAGAAGAAAAGGTAATAAAAGAATACATATCAGATATAGAGTCAACTTATCGAGTTATTGTTGTACTGTCAGCATTGCAGAGTTCAGACCTGTACATCGCACCATGCCTGAGGTCTAAGCCTAAGGTTTCAGACTTGATTTGCACACTTTCACAAATAGGTCACAAAAGAAACTCCCTTTCTTTCACGTTTTTCCACGTAATGTTATAAAAGGGCAGCCGAAGAGGGAATTGGGACACGTGAGAGATGATTCGCTTTAGCAGTTTTTCCAGTAGTATATTACATTTAGTCGGTTTGGGTTGCTTTTACTTAGGTTTACAAACTCATAACCTGCTACAGAACCTATCAGTTTGGTTATACATATTTCTAAACCAAAACTGACCAAGTTAAGTTAAAAACCAACCACATTGGGTCAAGTCGGGCTTGTTTTTGCCCTTGCCTTTCTCCCCCTCTTCTTTTCTCACATATTTTAAAATGAAATAGGATTGTAAGATAAGACATTTGTCATTATCTTAAATGCAATTATACTTTCATCAAACGTCATTTCATCATCTCAGATTTGTGTTTTCCATCTAGCACTGCCCTCCAAGGGGCTGAATTGCCGACTTTGTTCATACACTTTGCTGCAAAAATAAAAGGGTGATATCCACCTTACAATTTATAATTGTATATAATAGCTTATCTTTCTGTTGTGCGTCTATCTCTAAAACTTCATCCTTTTTCTGTCATTTTTTTTCTTGTTAAAAAGTAAAGGTATTTACTTGCATGTGCTTATTGGTTCACTTGTTTTTGGAAATCACACCTATTAACATTCTAATTTTGCAGGCTGTGGTATTTACTAATATTAGCTTGGAGAAAGCAATTGAATTTGATGATTACTGCCATAATCATCAGCCCCCAATCTCCTTTATCAAGGCTGAAGTCCGAGGCCTTTTTGGTAGTGTGTTCTGTGATTTCGGCCCTGAATTTACTGTTTTTGATGTTGATGGGGAGGAACCACATACGGGTATAATTGCATCCATCAGCAATGACAACCCTGCACTTATTTCATGTGTTGATGATGAAAGGCTTGAGTTTCAGGATGGGGATCTGGTTGTTTTCTCCGAAGTCCAGGGCATGACTGAATTGAATGATGGGAAGCCAAGAAAGGTCAAGAATGCTAGGCCTTACTCATTCTCTCTTGAGGAGGACACTACAAATTTTGGTGTCTATGAGAAGGGTGGCATAGTCACCCAGGTGAAACAACATAAGGTGCTGCACTTTAAGCCATTGAGAGAGGCACTGAGTGATCCTGGTGATTTCCTTCTGAGCGACTTTTCCAAGTTTGATCGTCCACCGCTCTTACACTTGGCATTCCAAGCACTAGATAAATTTATATGTGAGGTCGGACGGTTCCCCATCGCTGGATCRGAGGAGGATGCTCAAAAATTGATATCAGTGGCTTCTAAAATCAGCGAGAGCTCAGGGGATGGAAGAGTTGAAAATATTGATCAGAAGCTTCTACGATATTTTGCTTTTGGCTCCAGGGCGGTTCTTAATCCCATGGCTGCCATGTTTGGTGGTATTGTTGGACAGGAGGTTGTGAAGGCTTGCTCTGGAAAATTCCATCCACTTTTTCAGGTGAGGACCTCATTAATTCTTTTTTAGTTAGAGCAGAAACTGGTGTTAGTTGATTTTGTCACCTGGAGACCATTTGATTACAGCTGAAGTGGCTGAATTGGAAAGCTTATTACTTTTGCCTCTTAGTGAATAAGCTTTTAAGGAGGTTGTAGGCTCCTTAATGGCTGAAAATGAAGTTGGGTAGATCACTATACCCATGAACATTCATTATTTACCAACTGAAACACAAAACAAATAAGTCTTTCAGTGAATCAGTTCAGCTATTTCAGCCGTTACCAAAGGACCCATCAGTCTAATCAGGATATTCTCTTAGTGCCCTGAGTGTAGTGAACTCACTTTGCCTCTTACTTCAGTTTGATTTGACCAATGTTTTGAAAACTGGGCCAGACATGCCAATTAAACTTGGGTTTGATGGAAACTAGACACATTTTCTGGTCATTGACGGTTGGGGTAACTGGTATCTTTTGAGGTTGAACATGAAAACTGGGAACTGGTCGTTTCCAGTTTGATACCTGATTTTCTTTTCTAAACATTGGTTTTGACATGCACAAGTGCAGTATTCATGGTGGGACAAAGTAGTTTGTAAGTTGCAAAATTTCCAAATATGTGAATTTTAGTTTCATGTTTTCTGGGATTATCTGACATTTTTTTATTTATTTATGACAGTTCTTTCACTTTGATTCCGTTGAATCCCTCCCTACTGAGCCACTGGATCCCATTGACTTCAAACCATTAAATTGTCGTTATGACGCACAAATTTCAGTGTTTGGAGCCAAGCTTCAGAAGAAACTAGAGGAGGCCAAAGTGTTTATTGTAGGAGCTGGTGCACTAGGATGTGAATTCTTGAAGAATGTAGCTCTCATGGGAGTTTGTTGCAGTAGCAAAGGGAAATTAACCATTACAGATGATGATGTCATTGAGAAGAGCAACCTGAGCAGGCAGTTCCTCTTTCGTGACTGGAACATTGGACAAGCCAAATCCACTGTTGCTGCTTCTGTTGCTGTTTCAATAAATCCTCGCCTTAATGTTGAAGCATTGCAGAACCGTGCAAGTCCTGAGACCGAAAATGTTTTTGATGACACATTTTGGGAGAATCTGGATGTTGTCATCAATGCACTGGATAATGTTAATGCCAGGTTGTACATTGATCAGAGGTGCTTGTATTTCCAGAAGCCACTTTTGGAATCAGGAACACTAGGTGCCAAGTGCAACACCCAGATGGTCATTCCTCACCTGACTGAAAATTATGGTGCTTCAAGGGACCCACCTGAGAAGCAAGCACCCATGTGCACAGTTCACTCATTCCCACACAACATTGACCACTGCTTGACATGGGCTCGTTCTGAGTTTGAGGGCTTGCTTGAAAAGACCCCAACTGGGGTAAATGCCTACCTATCTAATCCCAGTGAATACACATCAGCAATGAAGAATGCAGGTGATGCTCAGGCCAGGGACAATCTCGAACGCATTATTGAATGCCTTGACAGGGAAAGATGTGAAACATTTCAAGACTGCATCACCTGGGCTCGATTAAAGTATGGAGCATGATGATTATTCTCATTGTATCTTAGAAAAGTTCTCTCCCAAGTCCTAACATCACACTTGCTGATATTGTTCTTGTTATTTAACCAGGTTTGAAGACTACTTTGCTAATCGTGTGAAGCAGTTGACTTTTACTTTCCCTGAAGATGCTGCTACTAGTAATGGAGCACCTTTCTGGTCAGCACCCAAGCGCTTCCCTCGCCCATTACAGTTTTTGGCTGATGATTCTGGCCATCTTCACTTTGTTATGGCAGCATCTATATTACGAGCTGAGACATTTGGTATCCCTGTTCCTGACTGGGCCAAGGATCCCAGGAAATTGGCTGATGCTGTTAATAAAGTGATAGTCCCTGATTTTATGCCAAAGAAAGGCGTGAAGATTGTTACAGATGAGAAAGCCACAAGCCTCTCCACTGCATCTGTAGATGATGCTGCAGTTATTAATGATCTTATTCTGAAGCTGGAAGAGTGCCGGAAGAAGCTGCCTCCAGGCTACAGGATGAACCCAATACAGTTTGAGAAGGTATGCCTTTCTTCCCAAGAGCAAACTTTTTAACTTTGTGTAATAAGGAATTTCACTGCCCTGCTCAATTCTGTTGCACATTTTCTTGCTTATTGCAAACCCCCCTTGAGAACCAACCTGATGTAATCTAGTTATCATGATTACCTGTTCTTGCGAAAAAAAATTCTTAAAGTTTCTGCTTTTAGGTGAATTGTACATCTCCAGTTAAAGTAGGTTCGTGGGTAGGAGTTTTCATTTCCTTTTTTTTTTTCCTAGTCTCTTTATTTTCTTATTCCCTTCAAATTAGGAGCTGAACGTCTCAAAACTCACTACATTTCCAAATCTGCAGGATGATGATACCAATTATCACATGGACCTGATAGCTGGGCTTGCTAACATGAGGGCAAGGAACTACAGCATCCCTGAAGTGGATAAGCTTAAGGCCAAATTCATTGCTGGAAGGATAATACCTGCCATTGCAACTTCCACAGCAATGGCTACTGGCCTTGTATGCCTGGAACTGTACAAGGTTTTGGATGGAGGACACAAACTGGAGGACTATCGCAACACCTTTGCCAATCTGGCCCTCCCTCTCTTCTCAATGGCAGAACCAGTCCCGCCCAAGGTGATCAAGCACCGTGACATGTCTTGGACCGTGTGGGACCGCTGGATCTTAAAGGATAATCCTACTTTGAGGGATTTGCTACAGTGGCTGAAGGACAAGGGGCTGAATGCTTACAGTATCTCCTGCGGCAGTAGTCTTCTTTATAACAGTATGTTCCCCAGGCACAGAGATCGAATGGACCGGAAGATGGTGGATTTGGCCAGAGAAGTCGCTAAGGTGGAGGTGCCTCCTTACAGACGCCATTTGGATGTTGTCGTGGCCTGTGAGGATGACGATGACAATGATATTGATATTCCTCAAGTTTCCATTTACTTCCGGTAGATGTGTCCTAGCCAATTCTGTCTGTTGCTTCAACTCTTCGGTTATTTATGAACAAGTTTTACATAATTTGAGAAACTCATATAACTAATTGAAAGCAACAACGATTGCGTTACCTATAGCGCATGTATTCACAATGCATGTAATTTTATTTGTTAGTTTATTACTGGTTTTGCTGAAAGGATTTTCTATTGCATTGTACTGACAAATTTAGGTTATATTCCATAATTCGGGCAATGCATGTTTGTGGCGGATACCCGAATGGATGGATGGATATTCTCGTTAGGGCATTGTTATTTCTCGTTGATTCGCTGAATTTTTAACTCCACCCGCCCCGAGAAGGACTAAAGTCCGTTTGGTTCGCATGACCTGGATGAGAAAATAGTAATATTCTTGTTTGGTTCGCATGACCTGGACCAACAGTCCGTTGTTTTTGGAGAGATGCTGCGGCAGTGAGGAAATTTCATCGAAGGGTGGACTGTTTTCATCTCCTACCTCTGCAACGGTCCAAACGCTGACCACCTGTATCTTTCATCTCTGGCGAAGGTAATGTTTCCGGCGGTTATTGTCTCTGTCTTCTCTGGCGAAAACAGAGGTTATTGTCTTCATCTTCTCCGGCAAAGACAGCATGGACAAGGACATGTTAATGTTTTCGTTTCCGGTGGTTTCATTTCTCAGTGACGTGTTTCTCCAATGAAGGTAAGGACAGGTTATTGTCTGTCTTCAGATCTCTGGTTCAACTTTGTCCACCCTAGATCTGGCCAGAGACGTGTTTGCTCTAGATCTGGAGTTTTTGCCATGGATTTGTTCCAAACCTGTTCCTAACCCCATGGATTTGTTTTAGTTATGCAATATTTCTTCATCCCTTCATCTCATCAACCAAACGCTAGAAGCATATTCCGAAGGATAGTAGGTCTCGGCAAACAAACACATAAACCAAAAAATGAGAATAAATTCTTCCTTTCTCATCTCATCCCTTAATTACGTAGGATGATGGCTTATTTACTCATTTCCTATTGTTTTATAACATTGTTGAAGATAAGGAGGAAGAAGAAGAAGGTAGAGAGGATGAAATTGCTCCCCTATTGACGAGCAACCGTGAAATATCATCATATCCCATTGCTCTAGCCATGTAATGAGGGGTAGCACCCCTTTTGCTCTTGGCGTTAACATTGGCTCCGTTGTCAATCAATACCTCAACAGTTTCAAAGCTGCCGCCCTCGACGGCCAAATGAAGTGGTGTATGCCCCTCTGTGTCTTGGCAGTCGACGTCCATCCCAAATTCGATGAGCATCTGCACAACATCCTTGTGTCCCTTAATGGCTGCCGAGTGAAGAGCTGTCAAACCGTATTGATCATGATACTTCATGTTAGCCCCTTTCTTCAATAGCCACTCAAGGTCCATGAGCTCCCCGCGTCTAGCCGCCGTTAGCACTGCTTCTCCTCGTTCAAGGATCTCGACGACTTGTTTCTGCATTACGACAGCACCTAGTGAGAATTACGAGGTCATGAAACTCCGCTTCCGAATTCCGATTACCATGGGTTGGGTTATCTGTATTAGTGTGCTTTGGACTACAGCCTTGAGAAATATCATTAATTAATTAATGGGTGGAACAAAATGTGTCAAAATGGCGAAGATATAGAATTTTTTTTTTTTTTTGGGGGGGGGGTGTCTGGTTTTTTCTTCAGAGGAAACGCAATAGGCAAATAGCCAAATTGTCGGTACGTGTGGTTAAAATTTTAAAAAGCAGCAGCATTCAGACGCTGATACAGCTTGCAGAATTTGTATAGTTGTAGATCCCAATTCCAACCCGGTTCTTGGGTAGTTAAGACTTAAGAGGCCCATGCCCAGAGCCATACCCCACAGGCAAATAGGTTTATTGTTGTTGAAAGCTTGAAGCAACCTGAACATTCATTCATTCATTCGAATTCTGGAGCGAGTCAACTATGAGTATGAATCGTTGGAATTGAGTTAAATGTTGATGGTATAGGATACGTAAACTTACATATCCCTTGTCTCGAGCCACATCAAGAGGACAGCGGCCACGCACCGCGGTCGGGATTGAGAGGTCGGCACCCATCTTCATGAGCAACGCCACCATCTGATGGTCCCCATTCGCGGCCGCCCTATACAACGCCGTCCGTCCATCATGGCTCCTGGCGTTCTTGTCGGCCCCCGCCTCGATCAACATCTCGGCACACCTTATGTTCCCCCTTCCCGCAGCCAGATGCAACGGTGTTCGACCTTCTCTATCTCTGCAGTCCAACGAACCTCCCCTCTTTGGCATTTCTTCGATCAACCTCGGGAGTTCCTCCGATCGATCGAATGCCGCTGCCACATGAATTTCCGTCCAACCCTTGGACACCCACCTTGACTCTCCTTCGGCATTGAGGTTGTCCAATTTCACGCGTACGTCGGTCTTCAACCCGGCTTCTACAAGCAAGCCAATCATGTGGTTTGAGTTACATGACTCGGTGGCTGCTTGGAGGAGAGACTCAGTATCTCGAGGTGAGAGGTCGGCAACGACGGATTTTTGCCGCTTGATTAAGTTCCTGACAACGTCCATGTCGCCTGCGGAGACGGCGCGGTGAAGAAGGAAGAGACCCACGTAGGCAACCTTGAGCTTGAGATCGTAAGTGGACAAGTGGGACCTGGAGGAGAACCAAGCGTTGATGGAGTCGGGCTGAGCTGGGTGCGATGGGTTGCTGGAGAAGTCGGGGGCCAATGCGGTTCTGATGAGGAAGCGGTCGGAGGGGGAGCGAGGAAAGGAGGAGGGGAGTTGGGTTTGGGGTTTGAGGATCACCTGGAAAGTGGCGTAGGATGAAGGAAGGATGAGTCCACTGGGCGGGTTCACTAGGAATTTGTGAGGGGAGGAGGTTTGCACTTTGAAGGCTATTGGAGTGGTAGCACTGAGAGACTTCAATCGCACGTTAGCGCGGCATTTGCACCCTAATACGAACTCTATGCGCACCTCTTGCTCCGACACCTCTACCAGTCTCTCCATATCACACTGCAAAACGGAGATCGAGAGTTCGTTTCAATCCAGACTTGCCGACCGATCACCGATGTGGGAGGGAGAGAGATTTGAGAGAGTGTGATAGACGGACAGGTCAGAGTGTTGATTTTAGCTTTGAAGTGATAAGGGTATGTTCAACTCATCCTTTTATGATTGGATTATAATATTGGTTCATCAGCGTAGATTTTAGAGTCTGGACAATGGATGACGAATCAAACGACTGTTATTGGGGGTGTGCGGTACAGAAAACAGAGAGAGAGAGAGCGTCGGTTTCCCTTAGCTTTCTGCCAATGTGCCATGCGTCACGACGTGGACCACTGTTTCTGGCTTCCGGTATAAGGCATAGCCGCATAGGGATGCTTTTTGTACTCATCGCTCGTGATTCGGCTTTTTATGACAAGCCCACTCAATAATCAAATATTCTGGTTTAGTTTGGTTGGGTCCGATATTATCATATTGCTGCGATACTATAAATACGTATAGGAGTGTAGGCACCATCCAATGGTCAGAATCGTCTATCTGGATTCTGGAAGGAGGAGTTGAGAACGGAAGATCCGAAGATGGGGTTCATGTTGCAGAATGGCTGGTGGAATCTAGTGATTAAATAGCATAAAAGAAAGGAATGGAGTTGGTTGTTGTGCCAAAACAAAAGAGGACACTCATTATAAAATGGGTTATGCCTGCGGTGATGGGTCATGGGTTATCACTAGAATACACACATGAGAACAGCAATATATAGCACAGAAGAGCAGTTCTCAATCAATCAACACGAAATATTGAATTATTGATTGTCATATACGGATAGATAGATAATTCCTCCAGCGATGCATCACATGGATCCTCGGTGAGAATATATTTGACCGTCTGAGGAATGTAGTAAGAAGGTGCACGCTTTGACCATACGGTCCAGAATCCAGATGATTTTGGTATATAGACTAATTAATCAATGGGAATAATTTTTGTTTGGCTTATAAGTTGGGGAAAATTTGCGATAGGTAACTGTACTTTAGGCCGAGTAATAATTTAGTATCCCAACTTTAAAATACCACAATCTAATATTTGAATAATTTAAAATTTGTCGTTAATTCATCGTTAAATGGTATGTGAAAAGATAAAAATTGCCTTTAAAGTATCACTAATTTTTTTTTTATTAACCTATCCGCTAAAATCAAAACCAACCCTATGAAGATCATATTCACACTATCACAGAGAACCCTGGGAAGGTCAGAACCTTGGGGAGTGAGTGATTGGAAGAAGCTCCGGTTCCTGTTCACTAGGCCCGCCTTCGGCGTCGGCTTCATGATTACTTCTCAATGGTTGCTCGTCGAATGTGGCAGTGGCGGCCTTGGCAGCGGCAGCTTGGATGTCTTTGAGCGATGAGCTGGCCGGCCGATGTTATCGGGAAAGAGAATCTTCCTTCCAGTTACACCAAAGCGGCAATGCTCGTTCTCACAAACACGCTGATGCAAGGTTACCCTGGGATAAGGTGGGAGATACTGGAAGCTATGTCAAGCTCATGAACCAAAACTTGATTCCTAAGTTGCCTTTGAGAGGGACTATCACCGCCTCCGGTGATCTCGTGCCACTGTCTTACATTGCAGGCTTACTAACCGATAGGCATAACTCGAAAGTAGTCACTTCGGATGGCGAAGAAATCAAGGCCTTGGAGGCACTGAAGTGAGCTGGAATCCCTTCTCTGTTTGAGCTGCAGGCTAAGGAAGGTCTAGCTCCGGTGAATGGGACTGCTGTCGGTTCTGCTGTTGCTGCCACAGTTTGTTTCGACGCCAATATATTGGCTCTCCTTTCTGAAGTACTCTCGGCCTTGTTCTACGAAGTCATGCACAGGAAGCCCGACTTCATTGATGCGCTGACCCACGAGCTGAAGCACCATCCCGGCCAAATCGAATCGGCGAACATCATGGAGTTCCTTCTGGATGAGACCGACTACATGAAAGAGGCAAAGGTCTGTCACGAGAAGGACCCGCTTACAAAGCCCAAGCAAGATCGCTATAAGCTCAAGACCTCCCCTCAATGGCTTGGGTCACAGATTGAAGTGATTCGCATGCCGACTCACTCTATCGAGCGACAAATCAACTCTGTTAACGACAACCCATTGATTGATGTGGCTCGCGACATGGCTATACACAAGAGGGAATTTCCAAGGAATGCCAATCGGGGTCTCGATGGATAACCTCAGGATCGCCATTGCAGCCATTGGGAAGCTTATGTTTGCTCAATTCTCCGAGCTCGTCTGCCATTACTACAACAACGGATTGCCTTCCAATCTGAGTGGCGGGCCCAACCTGAGCCTCCACTACGGGTTCAAAGGTGCGGAGATCGCCATTACAGCCTACTGCTTGGAGCTTCAATACCTGGCCAACCTAATCACCACGCATGTTCAAAGCGCAGAACAACATAACCAGGATGTCAACTCCCTCGGTTTGATCTCCGCAAGGAAGAGAGGACAGAAGTAGGGACTGAGCTTCTGAGTGAGAGCACATAGAGATAGAGAAGATAATCAACAGTGTGTTTCTGGGTAAACGCCGACTTCTAGGTCAGTAGAGGGAGAAAGAAGATAATCAATAGTGTGTTTTATTTGAAGGGTAATTTTGACATTTTAAAAAATATTAAATCTCACGGTTCATTAACGGTAGATACTAAATTGTCCTATTTCAAAAATTCGGGTACTAAATTATCCCGTTTTAAAGTATAAGATATCTATCAGGAATTTGCCAATTTGGGTTGGATAGGTTGATCATTGCCGTAGCTACTGTTACTGTTGAATTGTTGTAATGCTATCACGGGTTGAACCGCTTGACCCAAATACATTAATTGTTGACCCATCAAAGATTTAAAAAAACGGTTCAACTCTGCCAACTTTAAATCTGGTTGGGGGTGTCCGGGTTTGGGTTGGGTTTGCGCAAGTTGCACCCTCGGGTGGGTATGGATAAATAGTTACAGTATCACGTGGGGATGGTTCGCCTTCGCCGGAGATCGGCTTTTATCGTGACAAATCTGTGCCCACACCGTTTTATCGCCGGAGATCGGCTTCTCACGAATAGGTGTACGTTTCAACTTTCAAGTAGCCTATCGCGACGAGTGACTAGTGGTAAGACACACAAGTCTCACACCACGGTCTACGGGCCCGGGACCCGGGATCACTCGCCGGAACCTTTGATGTCCGCCACGTGTTTCCTTGTGGACCGCTCCCGCGAGATCGAAGTAGTTAAGATTTGGATCTCCATGCACGTGTGACTGGGTTTGTTCAGTCTCGGGATCATTTAATCCGTATAAGATTAGGAGATGTACGTCTCCCGATCGGAATCTTTGGGCCTTTATGGTGCTATGAAGAATCTGGATCGATGGTTGGCTTGTTGCTTTATATTTAGTCAGCAGATGTTCTCCCTGTGTATGTATATATATAGAATTGGTTATGTGTTCTCTGCTCTCATTTTTTGAGCTCCTTTTCCAGCTTAATTCTATTCTTCTTTTCGTTGAGTTTCAAAATTAACATAATTTCTTCTGCTTCTTCGTGTTCTTCGCTTCATTCTTGATCGAATCATCTGTAGTAGACGCGTTATTTAGTTGCAGAGACAAAGACGATAGAAGAAACCAAAAATTAGAACAAAATGTTCTACTCTCACCATCTTCTAGCCAGAAAAGCTCCTCTGGGTCAGATCTGGTGATTGATATTTCTTTTCTATACATTTTTTTTTTGTTTTCTTTCCATAGAAATAACGAAGCAAATCCTCTGATTTCCTTGAACTCTGTCATTAAGGATGGCGGCGACCATGCACGCCAAGATCAACAGGAGGAAGCTTGACAAGCTCAACATCATCACCATCTGGTCAGGCTTTTTCTCTCTGTTTCGTCCCATTTTCTTCTTCTGTATGGTTGATTTGTTCTCATCGTACGTCATTTGTTCTCTCTCCTTTAACTTTTTTCTTTTCCGCTTGCTTCTTAATCTTCATTTTGCAGTGAAGAGATTTTGAATCCGTCAGTTCCAATGGCCCTCAGGCTCTCTGGAATTCTCATGGGTAAGAATCCGATACATGAATTCCTATTATCCCACCGATTTTGATTCAATAATCTCAATTCTCATACACAATTCTTTCAGTTCATTTGCGATACTATCATGTTTTCAGGTGGAGTGGTAATCGTCTACGAGCGAAAGGTCAAGCTACTATACGGTAAGCTTTTAATTCACTTCCTCTTCATTATCCCTTAGTTCAGTTCAATTGCGCTGGTCTGAAATACACCAAAAAGCTTGACCTGATTCGTGTTTTTTTCCTTCTCTGTTATTGTTCACAGACGATGTTACACGTCTACTGGTATACTGATTATAAGCTCAATATTGTTTTAGATTAGATTATTATATAGATTCCGGTGATTCTTAGTTCTCTCTGATTTTGACTCCGCAGGTAGAGATCAATGAAGCATGGAAAGTGAAACCCGTTCGAGACCCAACCGTTCTCCCTAAAGGAAAATCCCAGGCGAAGTTAGTTTATTAGTTAGTTCTTCTTTGAAGTACAGTTTGCAATCAGAGAGTCGTGTTTGAACTTTTGATTATATAAATTGCAGGTATGAAGCTGTTACATTGCCTGCTAACGAAGACATGGAAACTGGCGAAATGGAGCACTTCCTCCACTTTTCCGACACAACCACCGAAATGAAATTCCAACAGGCCGCATATTTTACGATGGTATGCCACGAAAATATATACGGTATCAGGAATTGGCTAAAACTAAAACGCCACTTGAATCCAGACATGGAGAATAAGCAAATAATAAGCATCATCACAGATCAAACTGCTGCTCATCTTGTTGGCTAAACAAATGTTTTAGAATTAAACAAGGAATTTTATCATCCCTACAGACTGAGGACAATGGAAGTTTTGAAGGTAGCAAACCTGATTTCACTGATAATAATGAGTGCAGATGCAGATATCGCTCAGTCGTGGTTCACATGACTTTCACGTCCAATACCAACTCAGACCATTTCAAGTTCACAACTGATTACCTGAATTATTGCGCACCTGGCGACTGTTAGTTGCCTTTAGAGAGTATAATCATTTATTTTGTGTTTCTAGGGTTTCTCTAAGAGGGGAGATAGGAGAGTGATATCTGCCATTGGATGGGGATCCTTGTAACCCTTTTATCTCTATTTTATTTATTTTGAGTGTGCAGCGATTGGATGATGTGGGCGATCCTTTTGTTGACGACAATGCCAGGGGGGACGATCTCTGTCAACACCACCATCAAGGTCTCCCGTTGTCCTTTATTTATTTGTTAGTTATGTTTTTTATTGAGGAATGTTATACCTAGTTATGACACATTCATTCATGCATGCATCGCCGGTATCTGCAAACACGCATGCATAGATATGGATATACTGATTCAACAACTTTTTTTTTGGTGAGCATCGATCTATACATAATCCTCTCCTTTCCCTCCCTTATTCATCAGCTGACGCTGCTAATATCACCTTATTAGACCCTAATAATATTGATACGGATCCTTATAATCGATTTGAGAGGTAAGACTCCAAATCCCACATTCTTTTCTTTATTTCTAAGTTAAAATAAAACGAACTGGCGATGACATGCATGAGCTTTGTAACCAACTATTCATCCACTTCTGTAGGTTCGATGCTGAAGGGGAAGAAGAGACGTATTTGAATTTCACCCCACGAGAGCTGTCACAAGTTCCAGTTACTCTTATACCCTCCCCTCCGAAGGAGCCTCATCAAGGTTTAATAGTGTAGGAAAATGCATGATTCCTCATGACTTGTGCCAATATCTTGGATCACTCAATCACCATAGACGACTCAATTATCCTCTGGTCCCATCTCCTGCAGATGATAATATTCAAGACCAGCATCGAGAACCTCAGGAGAAACAACCATCTAATGAATGCAGAGCGGAAGAATGCCAGGTAATTTAATCTGCACACTGCTTTCATATATAACCATTGTGTTCGTCATCCAATAAATGAGTATGCATCTACGACAGCCGCCCCAACATGATGAACAAAGGCAAGGCCCGAAAAAACGGAAATCAAGGAAAAGATCAGTTTCTCTAATTATGGATTACGAGCAAACCATCATCCCAGGTCAACTGTTCCAATCTTGGCTCCAAAACCCCTCCGACATTGTGTCCAGAATAGGAGGAAAGAGGAAGGTCTGTCACTAAACTTTTGTACTCGAATAGGAAATCATTTTACGGTGGTTACAAGAGAAATTTGAATTTACTTGTTTTGGAGCATGGGTAGTCATTAGTGAAACCACGCAGATAAACTTGTTTCATGGTGCTTTGGTACATGGTCTTGTTGAAGGTCATGCTGGTGGACTCCATACTCCATAGTCCACAGGCTTAGAATGACTCCAGTTGATTAATCTATTTTGTGTTTAATGACTTGACAATAGCCATTGCATAGAAGGGTATGCAGACCACAGCGACAAATATTACCATGTTTCTAAATTTTTTCTTGATAGGGTAATTTCGGTTAATTAATTTCTATTGATGACAATGTTTTCTTGTTCCATGTTTTGCGCAGCACATGAATCCTAGTTTCTCCTTGAAGATAACCGAACTCATGGAGCTGCCGCCTGTCGCCCTCCTTTCCGGGTTTGCAGCAAAAGGGACCAGACAAGTYCATTACCCTGCACCTCTTCTGGAGCAATGGCTGAGATTTAATCAGCTTCGACCTGCCCATGATTCACCTTCCGGTCAAGAGTCTTCTCGTATTTGTTTCTGAAATCCTAATCATTGAAGATAAGAGTAGTTAATTTGCTAGTCCTTTTTGCAGCAAGGAACTCACTACCCCATCCAACAGAACCATCATCATCTCGAACAGAGAGAACATTTAATCAAAATCTCCTGAATGTAGTAAGCCTCTGTAACTAATTCTTAGTATTGATTCAAGTTTCCTGTGGATGCAAGACATTACTGCGGTTCTTATAAACGATTTATATATATGCGAAGCCTACTGAAGATTTTCAAAGTGAAGTTGGCTCTCAACCGCCTCGAATCTCGATAGAAGAAAAAGGGGTGGACTCTGACAATATCGAAGTGCCATGGGAAGCCTCCATAGAGAAGCTAAGAGCTCACCTTGGCAACGTTGATTTGCCAAGGGAAGACTCCATAGAGAGGCTGAGGCCAAGAACCAATATTCCTTACGGGGAAGTGCCAATAAGCGAGGCCAACTTCGTCACACCGAGAAATTCGGGTACGTAGGAATCTGCACGTCTGTATTTTTTTTTTTTATTCTTTGGCATCCCCTCTCATCTTTTTCTTTTCTTTTTTCTCTTTCTTAGTAAAAGAATACCTTAGCATTCTCCCGAAAAATAAAAAATAAATAAATAAAAATTCACGTCTTTACTTCATGTGGAATTACAGGAGACAAAGCAGAATCAGTCCCCAGCTCTGCATCTAGATATGGTTCATCAAGTCATGATTTCCAACTGCCTTCAGGAAGGTTTGTAGAGTACTGAACTTAATTACATTAGTATTTGATGAATTTTCAAATAGTAGATATGGAACAGGAATCTGATCTTTCAACTCAAGAATGACTTTACTGCATCATATCTTTGGCCACTGTATCTCGTTAGTTCATAGAATGAAAAGGCAACCTCATTGATTTGTTTTGAGTAAGAAACCCAATGCTTATGAACAGATCCCACCAGAAAAGGCCACATTCTTCACCCAGGCATAACGGGAGTGGCCTTGAACCAGTGGATGAGGAGAACCCGTGGCAGCCAATTGAACCAAGTTTCAAGCTGAGAAAACTGTCGGAAAATGGACCCACTCCTGACTTCGGTAAAGTAACTCGTCTGCTCTTCGTAGCAATAGCGATTTGTGACTTTGCGCTACTTACGCTATGTCAGTAGTAGTAAGTAGGCCTAATTTCTTAAGAAACAAATGGCAGTGCACGATCCCGTTTGAGTTTTTATTGCAGAATTATTGGAAGAAACTGGACCCACCCCAACCCAACATCCAATTGTTGCTCACACCATTGACAAGATCACTGACTCGATCAGGAAGTAACTCCCTTGACCTATGTTTTAGTCAATTGCCTCACCATTTGTTCAGACTTCAGATATGGTATTCTATGCCAAATTCATTCTCAATCAAAACTAATCGTTGGGCCGTCTGGGCATTTTGCTGTGCATAGACACCTGAAGGCGCATTTCGACACGCCCGGGGCTCCTCAGGCCGAATCTCTCAACCAGCTTGTCTTTGGAATGGACAGAACAAAGGCATCCCAGCTCTTCTACCAAATCTGTGGTATTGACAAATGAATTACTTCCGGTCATCATTTGCGATCATGCATGTCTTAAGCTGTTTTATTTTTATAACTAGACGGACAGTGATAGAAGTAATACCACCACATTGTCTCGATGGGACGAGGAACCAATTAAGATGCCTTTTGATTGGTTGTTTTGCAGTTCTTGCAACCTATGACCAGATTAGGGTTGAGCAGACTGTAGCATATGGAGACATCCTCATCTCTAGAGGCTCAAAGATGTGAAACAAAGTGGATGGTGACCAACTCATCATCGTCATCGTGATAATATTTTTTAACCAACAGCATCTTCTTTATCTTTTGTTTTATTGACTATTTCACATGTCAATCACACTAATTCAACTTGCCTTCTATCACACGTGCTTAGGCAAGGAAAATAGAGAGGATGGAGGGGAAGTGAAGCCTTACCCCCCTTTTTTATTCAATTTCTTTTTTATTCCAAGATTCTTTTTGGTACTCTGCTTCCAAGATTTGATAAGTTTGCATTGTAACCCTAATTTTGTATCCCAGCTTCCTGTATTGGGGAGGTGATACATTTCGGTCTCATTTGATTTTGGTATCACTGCTCTTTCTCCTTGGTCAAATTGTTTCTGATGGTCAATATAGAGAGACTCTTACACGAAAAAGAGTGCTTTTAACCAAATTACAGAGAAGATGAGCTTCACCAGCATCTCAAAAAATTGGATTGAAGTAGAAACTTGACATGGCTAACAAAATTATGTCCCGTTACAAATACACTTCTTAGAGATAATCTTTAGCTTCTGCAACATTGGACCAATTTTAGTAGTCAGAGGATAAAGTTAAATAATCTTGGACATCCTAAATCTGCATTTTCCATCTCCATGGAAAAGGACATTCTCAATTTCCATTCCTGCTGCTTACCAAAAAAAAAATGCATGTTTTACCTTCTTTGCATAATCCAATCAAACAGTAAGGGCTCTCAGTTTTTATCTGCACCTTCATCAAATCCTGCAGAACGCCAAACACTGAAATCCAGTTGTTTCTGATGCTTTGATCGACGTCGCTCGTCAAAACCTTGCCAACCTTCAAACTGTCATTAAGATATAATTAGAACGTGTGCAAACACAAAGGGCTCCAACAAGGTTTAGGTAAGGATAAAAAAAAGGAAATACAAGCTACTACCTGTCGTAAGAGATCGATTGTGATTTCTGTGTTATGGAGATCCAGTGTTGCCAGCTCAGAGCACATTTTGAATAGTGTAGATGGGAGGGATTTGAGTCCATTGTTGCTGAGATGCAAAGCCTATGACAAAGAATGGGACAATTGTTCCAATTAAGAGGATGGAAAATATTCAATGCAGCTTGAAAGTTGAAAAATCTGTCTATAATAGAACAGCAACAAAAGAGATCATCATTATTCATTGCCCATAGGTAGGAAGAACACCTACTTAAGAAGATCCTTGCATCAGGGGAACTGAAGAGACTGAGTCCCTAGTTGGTGTTATTTTTAGCAGCTGATATGAGATTGTGTCAAAAAACTCTGACAAGTTGCCCAAATTATGCTAGGAAAATAAAATTGTTTTGGCTTATACTTAAAGTGGTTGATTATGTTGACATGAGAGCTCAATCAGGTTAGACATGATTTTCTAAAACAAGTACATAAACTTTGGAAATTGCGATGTTGGTCCAAGGATCATTTTTCAAGGATGGCCTCAAACATCAGCCACCTTTTTTATTCAAAACTAAGACTTGCAGAACAGAATCTTTAGGCAGTAGATATTAGACCTGTTCATGGGCCGGGCCGGGCCGGGCTTTTACTCTTCATTAACAGAAATATGTTAGGCCCGAGCCCGAGCCCGGCCCGACCAACGGGCCTACAACTTGGGCCCGAGCCCGGCCCTAATAAAAAGCCCGAAGCCCGACCTAATAAAAAAAAATTAGAAATTTTCCCTATTCAGTAATCAATATAAATCAGAATTTATTTACATTAAAAAAATATATAAATTCAAAATTTATTTATATTAAAAAATATATATAAAGAAGGGAAAGAGGATGTGGAGAAGAAGAATTTGGTTGGAAAAAGAAGGGAAAGAGGTGAAAAAAAGAGGGGTATTCAACTAGGGTTTTTAGGTTTATTTATAGGTTGGATCGGGCCAGGCTCGGGCCGGGCTATTTTGGCAAATCCCGAGCCCGGCTCGAATTTATTGCGGGCCGGGCTTTTTGGCCCGAGGTTAAGCCCAAGGGCCTATATACCTGTTCAAGCCCGTTCGGGGACCGGGCCGGGCTGGGCCGGCCCGTCGGGCCACCCGGCCCATGAACAGGTCTAGTAGATATGCTAGGGACCAATGCCAAATGACAAAACTCAGGAGTCAGGATCAGCTTGGCATTTTTTGGGATAATTAATTATATATACCCTGAGATTTGAGGAAACTACTTATATATACCCTGTAGTTTCAAAAACAATTTACATATACCCTGTTGTCCTTTCAAACATTAAGTCTAATAGATATAACATAAAGGACAAAAGTGTCCTTTTACTGTTCATTAAATTTTCAAAATATGTCAGCTCTTTCAATACAAAAAGAATAAGACAGCCATGGGATTCCTTGTTTCTTCCTTCCCAGTCCCACATTTGTTGCTGTTTCTGTGCTATTAGCACCAAAACTCTAACCTCAGATGTATCCTTGAAATAGCAAACCCAATGGGCAGGAGAGCCAATACCTAAAATGCTCGGGGTGGCTCCATATTCACAAAAAATTGTAACTCCGAGACAAGAAACGAGAAAAAACAACTGATGTGTTCTGTCAGTTTGTAAAACTGCTTTTTTTTCATTCATGTGAAAAATAACCTCCCATCAGAATTATGTTTTACCAGCAACTCATTCTTTAGCTGTAATCTGGGTACGTCTTTTATCAAACCAACCAATGACTCGTACTTCAGCTCCAAAAAACTCCACCGAAACTGAAATCTCAACCAGAGGTTAACACTGGCGAATATTCTCTTAAACAAAAGAAAAAGGATTTTTTTTTTAATTTCTTTTTCCTTCCATCACCTCCATTATTGACCAGTGGAGGTGTTTATAGAGGGTGGTTTTGGTGTAGGTTCAATTATTCATCGAGCTTTCCCTTCCTATGGTTCTTCTCTTGTTGGTTGTTACTTCCAATGGCTGACTTCCACTTTAAGCAACCACTTTCTTGAATCTCCCTTCGATTATGGTAATGAACGAGCCCCATTTCATTACAGCTCTGCARCTGATCTTCTTGGTGGTGCTTCTTAGGTACTTTCTCATGCTCATCCTCCAGAAACCATGGCTGTCAAGTGTCATCAGTGGTTGATAGTATTCCTTGGAATTAAGAAGTTTGAGCAACAAGATCTGGGTGATGAAGGTTTGGCAAAACAAGTGGGTAGTCGATTTTGACAAAACAAGATCTGGGTTTGGATAAGTTGAGGTGATGAAGGTTCCTGTTCTTGCTGGGTTGTTAACGCTGTGGAGTGTCTTTTCTTTTCCATTATTTGGGTTGTCGAACACTGTTTTGAGGGACTGTTTGGGTTTTAGATTTTGTCGGTCCATGACCAATATGACTTGGTCTCTTGGACAGTTCAGATATACTCTATGATTACAGGGGGTTGCTTAGGTTGAGAAGTTTGAAGAAGATCAACAGTGTTTTCAAAATAAAAGGGTGAACTTCGGATTACGAAAAACTTTAATGATAGCTACAAATGACTAAATGTTTTGTTAACGGAAGGCCTGTTTATGTCTCGTGGGACCATCTCAAAAGGTATATGTAAGTAGTTTTTGAAACTACAGGGTATATAAAAGTAGTTTCCTCCAGTGTTTTAAAAGGCGTGGGAGGCATACACCAGGAGGCGCGCCTCCAGGCGAGGCGTTCCCAAAAGGCCCTGAGGCGTATGCCAAAGGCGCTGACACCTCTAAGCCGCACGCCTCATGCGCTTTTTTCATGAGGCGTGCTAGAGGCGTACGCCTCATGCGCTTTTTTCATGAGGCATGCTAGAGGCGTACGCCTCATGCGTCTCATGCACATCTTATATAAAAAGACAAAAAAAAAAGAAAAAAGAAAAAAGAAAAAAAAAAGGAAAGGAAAGGAAAGGAGAGGAAAAGAAAGGGAAGGGAAGGGAAAGAAAAAGAAAGAGAAGAAAAAAAGAGAAAAGGAAAGAAAAGAAAAGGGAAGGGAAGGGAAGAAAAGATAAGGGGAATGAAAGTGGTTTGCCCCCTGCCCCTTTGACTGGGGGGCTTCACCCCCCGCCCCCTTTTCGATGCAGCCCTTTTTTTTATTTATTTATTTTTTGAGTTAGGGGGGTCTCGCTCGCTCACCTCCTCTTCGACAAGACCCCCCCTTTCAACTAATGTTATGCGTCTTTATTCTTCTTAATATAAAAGATTTTTATTAAAAATAAAGAAAAAGTGAGATCCCCCCTTCCTCTTCATCCTCCCCTTCCTCCTCCTAAGTTCCTAACCCCCCTCCTCTTAAGGAGGCTTACGCCTCTTGCATTCTGAACTATGCCTCATGCCTCTAGGTAGTGGAACGCCTCGCATCACACCTGTGTTTTAAAACATTGATTTCCTCAAACTTCAGGGTATATAACTATATATAAGTAATTAACCCCCTATTTTTATCAGTATCAGGGTCAACAAAATATATTAGTGTGAAATTTACCTTTACGTTCTTTTAATATCTTGGTATGAAAAAGGAACACCAGTATCTAAGAGACCCACTAAACCATGGAAACCTGATGGAAATGAAAGGCTAGAGAAAACCATTGAGGCTTTACTTGAAACTAATGATGCTCTGTATAATTTTTATTCTTTTTACATTTTTTGCCCTCGTTCCCCCCTTTTTGTGAATGGGTCAATTTCTTGACCATGTATAATTCTTTATTGGGGTGATTTGGCTCCTATTTATGAGTACCAAACCTTTTACTTATAGAAAAAAGGGGTGCTTCATGAGAACAAGGGAGAAAGAGAACTTTCTTTGGCAGTAGGAAACCTTATCTGAAATGCCAATTCCCTACTATATCCAGCTATCTGAATCCCACCTAGAACTCTCTCTTGTTTGCTGACTATCATAAAAGGGGAATTAGTCTAAGTATCCTTTATAACAGTAATCTGTTGCTTTTAGAACTTAGTGTTGGGAATATAGATTTCATTCCATGCCAACAAATAAATCTTAAATTTATGTTTTTTATCAGAAAATAAGACTTTTATTAAGATCAGAAATATATTGCATTACAAGAGTTTGGTTTCAGCACTGCAATGACCCAAGCTACAAACACATACAAACAGTTACAGTTCTGCCCAGAACAAGGTAGATCTATTTGCCCCCTGTTTTGCTAGTGTATCCGCCAAACCATTTGCAGTCCTTTTTACCCAACCGAATTGAGAGTTGAACCTCCTTGCAAGTATGTCAATTTCCCTATAGATAAATTTGAGCTTCCAAGGTGCTGATGTGATTTGTTTAGACCAAGAAATGACCAGTAGTGAGTCTCCTTCATTTTCTAAATCTGTTGCTCCAATTTACTCAGCCAGCTTTAATCCTTGTAGGAGAGCCAGAGATTCAGCCTGAATTGAGTCACCAATACCTATTGGTCCTGAGAAAAGTGCCACAACTTCTCCTTGGTGATTTCTAAGCACACCCCCTATACCTGCCCTTCCCGGGTTGCCAAAGGAACTCCCATCAAAGTTTAGTTACATCTGTTTGTGCCACTTCAGTCCAGTTCCTTATAATGTCATTCGTGGAGAAGTTTTTGAATAATTCCATGGTCATCACCCAATGTGCAGTTCTGATTTTATGGCTTCAATGACTTCCTCCTTTGATTTGCTTTTTTCAAAGAAAATTCTTTGGTTTCTTTCCTCCCATATAGTCCATACCACAGCAGCTCTTGCTGCCTTCCATAAATCTTAAATTTATGTTTCAATATAATTTTACTATTTAAGTATTATTTTATTAGACATTCCTATTTACCTGCAAGGACTAAGTTCTCCATGAACGCATCAATGTGAGCATTTAAATGGAAACTGTTCCCTATACATTCCTCAGACGAAATCTAGATGAAAAAGGGAGGGGAAACTAGGAGGAAAGAGGTAGACATACCTTTAATTTTTGTAAATTTCCAAATGTCTCTGGCAACTCCACTAGAAGATTTGAGGAAAGATCAACCTGCACCATATCACAAGCATGATCAATACATTATAAGATTATAGCTGCTTTGGAAATATTTCCATCGGAAATACTTATATCCATTCTTTTATAATTAATAGTTAAAAAGAACACTATAAGAGATTACATCAAAATACCACCTCAATCAGATCTTTGCAATTCCCTATGCAAGAAGGAATGGAGCTTAACCTGCCAGCACATAGAATAATGTCACTCGTTAGTAAAAGTACAGTGAACAGTTTTGATGCATGAGTTGGCCATGGCTTTGACAATTTAAACCATATCTTCAACGATCATGTCCCCACATGCTCACCGCTCCAAACAACATGTGTCAGTGTGCACACAGTCGTAAATGCACAAGCACAAACCTACAAGAACAACTAGCACACCAAAAAAGAACAAAGAACAAGAATGCAAGTAACTCATGCAAAGAGAAACTTCAATGTTGACTATCCAACGGCTTGGGAGGAGTGGAGTAGATATAGACCTAACATTTGGCATTTTTTGCACAAAGTGCCACTCTAAAACTTCAATGTAATAATTATAATATTGAAAATAATACCTATTTTTGCTTGCCTTCAAGACTTGAAGATGCACCAGAAGTCCTATTTCATCTGGCAAGCTTGCAAGCTTGTTGTTTGCAATAAAAAGTTGCCTCAAAGATGTTAAAGCACCCAATGATGAAGGCAAAGTAGTCAAGCTGTGGAATTATGTAATGCCACATAATTAGTCCACATAAAATTTTCATAAAAAAGACATTACTCTATGAGAAACTGGAATAAGATGGTTGATGGTAGGTAGATACTGCAGTACTAAGAAATATTATCTGATTGCTTGCCGGTAGATCAATTCAAATATGTCCTTTCTTTTTTTTTTTTTTTTTTTGAGGGGTGTGGAAGTTTATTGGATTTTAAGTTGACATGACTTGAAATCAAATATAATACCCATGAGAATGGAAGCATACAACTATTGAAAAACAAATAAATGAAGTTTAAGAATCCCAAAGAAATACCATAACCACAACCAGTGAAGAATAACAATATGAAATTTCTGGTCTTTTTTTTTCTTTTTTTTTCATTTTTAGTAATAGCAAGACTTTAGAAGCGTATATTTCCCTAGAGAATTGTGAACAAAACTGGAGACTCAGAAGTCAGATAGCAGCCAAAAAACGAGAAATTTGTTAAACACCTACTTCAAAAACCCATTGCTACTGAGATAAATTAATATCGATTCCCACTATTTTCAAATGATATTAGTAAAAACTTACTGAAAACTCCCAACTTAATCCAAATAATTGACATTCAGATTCTTCTTCCAGTCTGACCATGAAGGAAAAGAAGCATTCTATCAACCCAACATAGCCCATAATAACCAGAAAAATCTTTTGGATTGAGAAAGGGAAATGCATTTGAATTAATTTGTGATAAAAGGCCAAACTGATGTACATGGTGGATATCAGCCAAAGAAATGAGGCTATATATATATGGACAGCCAGAGCTAGCAATTGTTTTGGAAGGGGCCACTCTGGAAGCAATGTATAATGGACCTATGCGGAGAGACAAGCCAGCTTTTATCTGGCAACCGATAAAAAAAGCTGGCAGTCATGCCACTTGACGAGCTGTCAATTAACGCTCCGTTTTGAGGTTATGCGGAGAGTGGCACTTTATGCAAAAAATGCCCTTCTTCCCCTTCTTTTCACTCAATTTATCTTTACCCGCTAGAATTTTTGAGTTTCATATTTGTTCCCTTTATGTTAATTAGGTTTTTTGCATCAGTACCCATAAACCACAAACTTGGACCTACTGCGCCTTTTTATAACTATTAAAAACATAAAATTACAATGATGTCACTTGATTAATGTTGGAATATTAGCATGCTATTTAATGTAAATATACAAAATCGCAAGCTTTAAATAGAATAGATTGGTGAAACAGGACTCATGTAGCCAATCCCATATAGTTGGGATAAGGCAGGGATGATGATGATGATGATACAAAATTGCAAGCTAAGGGTAGTTTAAAAAAATTCTATGCATGTTAAATGTACTCTCTCATTTGAGAGAGTAATGTTTCAGTCTGGATTCTATCTATCTCTATATGGAAAATCGGTACATGAGTGGGGAATCAGATAATGCTCTTTGGCAGGTAACTGCCTCTTTGAGCCTACTTGTTATGAAGTTTTAGATTTTTAGTGCATCTGTGTGATTTTTTTTTGGCAGGGTCTATTTATCTATGTAAAGTTCAGTTTTTTATTAGTTTTTGATCAATTGGCTTGAAATGAACCAGTTTTTTTATGCTAGGAATGAAACAAATTTATCCAGTGAATCTGGGCAGTATGGAAGGAGTATCAGCACAGTAACAACTGAAAATTTCTTGGTGTGAAAGTGATGGTAAAACTTTGGGCTGAGAAGTGTGAGAAGATAGGTTTCAGCCTCAGAACAGCCACTTTGTGCAATGAATGCTGGAAGTTAGGTCTGTATCCAGTCCACCCCTCCCAAGATCACATATAGTAGGGTAATGGTCCTTTATGGGGAAAAGTATAACATTTGAAGGGTATGTAACAAATTCACTCGAATGTAGAGGCACATGCAAATACCAGTAAAAAAAGGAACAAAAAGAGAAAAGTAGTAATTTAAACTGATAAGATCAAGTAAGTTCAGCACATAGTTCATAGACCATTTACACTAAACAAAGTGCATCTACATTCCATCTTTCACTTTATCTGATTGCAGCAATGAAACACTATTTGATTGTACTATTGATAAAAAAAGGAAAGAGAAACCAAAAAGAAGAAATCATTGTCTTTATTTTTTCTTCCCTTCCTTACTTTCTTCTTTTATGAGGCTGTGTTTGTTTTTGGTGTAAAGTTTTGATCGATGTAAAAGTACATCGATCGGTTTAAATAGTGAACTGTTGTAAAGTGAAAAAGGTATGTCAGTGTGTGGAAAAAATTACACCGATAAAATCAATGTTGTCTTTACATCGATGGTCGATGTAAAACTCTACCGTGAGTGGAGTTTACATTGATTTTCGATGTACAACTTACATTGAAAACAAATGCGAGCAAAATCAAACCGGGGTTTAAAGTTTACCCCGGTTCTCATTTACACCGAAAACAAATGCAGCCTGAGTTAAAAGCTTACTTACACCATAATATGGAGAGATTATGAGCTTATTTCCAAATCCAATGTGCAACAGGGATAACTAACATCCATTAGTTTATGTAATCAGAGTAACAAGAGATAAGGTTTTTAAACTTTTAAACCTTGCTATGGACCTTAATTGAGCCATATTCAATGACAAAGGTCCAAAGAAGTTCTACCAATCATTAAATCCTACAAGGGATCCAGAGGTTGCATCTCAGTAGAGTCAGTTCCAATAGGGCCTTCATACGTCACTCAGGCTCTCCATGCTTGTCTATATTAGAGTTAGCAAGCTACAAAACAGGGAACAATTATATAATTTTGCAAAACCAATTAGTGGTGCTCTATGTAGCCCTAGTTGATTCCTTAATGTTTCTACCTTAGCTGGCCCTCTATAGTGTATACATACTTGTACTGTTTTAGAATTGTAAAAGTTCATGCCCTCATTTCCAGTTGGAAAGACTTATTCTACTGTATATATGCTATTGTGGCCGTATCTTATATCATATCTCACCATTAACGTAAACTTTGGATGCATCATTGTAAGTAATATATGATTTTGTTGTCAATATGACAAGGACCAGGTGAACACTGTAAAGGACAATAAACTACTTACTAGTTTTGGCTTAGGGAAAGAACAGTTAGAGACTTCAGAGATGTTATGCCTTCCCAGGAAATGTACTCATCCAATATATCATTTGCATTCAGGAGGAGTTTCTGGATCAACAAGTGTAAGGGGTTTTGAGTCTCTAAAGTATGTAACAAAAAGCTTTTTCAAGAAACAAAAATCAACCAAACTAGAAATGAGTAGGATCAGGAAGTGTTACCTGCAAGGAACTTAAAGCGCTGATTTTGACTGGTATTTCACGGATAGAATTGTTGCTGATGTCCAGTACTCGTGCAGAAGCTCCACATTCCCATACCCCGTCAGGAATGATCTTCCAAGTTTCAATTTACAAGAAGAAAGAATAAGATTTCTAATTCCAACAACATGGAAATCAAAGGTACAATAACAGTATTGTTGTCCTTTTGCCAGGGAAGTTACTGGAAGCCTTTAAAATCAGTGGGATTTTTTAGGCTATATTTGGAGAAGTCCTGGCATGACAAGGAAAAAAAAAAAAGAGGGGAAATGTATTGAAAAGGAAACCACTGACAAAGGAATGGACTCCCAGCCACAAGTCAGGTAAAACTCCAACCCTGACAGCTGCTCTCTAGGAAATCCAAGTTCATTCAGAACAGAGCTCGCATGTGAATGGGATAGGTGATTGCTGCATGGTCTGGCGACTCTGGCCTATTGAAGAAGCAACAGCTGTAAGGGCAGAGATGTCATCTCTTTTACAAGGAACAAGATTTGCATATCCCCTTTGCCTAGAGGCAATACAGGTGGAGGGAACTCATCACTACCTGATGGCCCTTGGGTACTTTAAGGCATCATTCTAGGGAAGAAAGATAATTGGTGTTGAGGATGAGCATCTCATTCAGTTGGAACCCAAGATCAGCCAACTCCTTAGCAGAGAAACCTGGGGCTGGAAGTAAGTTTGTTAGCATGGTAATGAACATATATGTATTTTTTTTAGTCAACCTGGTAGTTTTTTTTGGGGGGGGGGGGCTGATTCTTCCTCTCAAAACTTGAGAAGCAAGGTTGCATGTATATACATATTTTTGTTTACATAAAATGCTTTTGATTTCTGCTATTGATAACAAAATTATATGATTATTCATCAAAAAAATAACAAAATTATATGATGATGTTATTATGAAGTAATTTATTCTTTATGTTGATGTAACATCTTAAACTATCACAAGAAATATAGGACACAATGGACATAAAGACATTAAATCAAATTAGGGAGGTCTTGATTCCTGAATAGTTATGATTGTTTTCAATAGTAAGTATGAAATGTTTTGTTAAGGACAAATGATGTGATGAGCAATTGTGATAGAAGTCACTTTGTGTAAGAAGTGACAAAGGTTAGGTCCTCTACAAGTGATGTAGGAGCCCATGATATGCCTATATTGCATTGAACTACCCACATCTAAGAATGGACAACACATAATTTCGCACATGGATGTGGACTGTCCAAATGATGGACAACTTTTCTTGTATTATGCATCTCTTGTATGGACTGTCCACTGCATTGAACTACCCACATCTAAGAATGAACCACCCATATCTCTTGTGTTATGCATAACTAATATAGAATGGTTTGGTTCATATCTCAAACTAGGAAATTAAATGGATTTTCAAGGATCCCTAGTACAACTTTGCTTCAAATCTCAAGCCAAGAAATAAGTCATTATTTGAAAAGTCCAGATAATTGATCATGTCAATTACACCTGGATAGTTATGCAGTGTGAATGTGTGATTACATTCAATTTAGGCTGAGCCTATCACATTGTTTCTTTTAACTAATATAAGGTTTTCTTTCTGTTGGTACCTCTATTAGAGTTGAAATCTTCTATTTGCGCAAGTACTCAGTAATATGTTCCAACACAGGACAGCAAGGAAGCTGATTGGACAAAGGTATTTGATGTTTATGGAAACAGATTAATAAGAAGTCCAGAGATATTGACAGACGAAAAAGGGATAGAAATTAAACTCAAAAGATAACCAAACAGGGTGGCAGGATTTGCTCATAACAATCAGAAGCATAAAAAAATTACCATCAGACATAATCAAAGGAGCATAACAATGCAAAATAGATTCTCCAGTGTCATTCAGCAGATCCATTATTTCTAAAATATTTGGTAACTATGCTCCAGTTCTCATCTTCTTCATGGTGTTTTGGTTGCATTCAACTTGGCTGTGCTAGTGAGATTTTCTGGTTGAAAATTCTGTGGATTGATCAAGAAACACTACTGTTCATGGTGATGGTGACCTTACACCAGAGATAGCTTAGTATTAACTGCCTAATTTACAGTTGTCATCGACCAAATCATGTACAGTACAAGTGTAGCAGTTCAGTAGTTAAGAGAATCTAATGCAGGTTCAGTTGTTTAAACATTATTCTTTGTTCAGTCATTTGTTTATTTTATTTATCTACTTATTTTTGTTTCACACTTTGAATTATTCATACTAGTAGAATGTCTTTCAGCTCATAAAAAAAGGGAAAAAAAGGAAGAAAATGGGCAAGACCAATAAAACATAAGACATCAATTAAAAATTTAATACATGCAAATGTGCTGCAACTATGGAGTTGCAAACACTTCTTTCTAATGATGAACTATTTTTAAAAGGCTAAGAGCAATGCTTATACCTTTAGCTGAGATCCTGACAAAGCTATAACTCCAGTAAGCTTCCAACGCTCCCACTGGCTTTTATCCAAAGGTGCCTTAATCTTCTCATACACTGTTCGATTAGTATCAACTGTTCTCTTCAAATTGGATGGCAAAGAGGCATTTTTGGTGACGGGACCATCCTTTGTATAAAAAAAAATAGACATAGAAAATATAAGAAAAAGACTAAAAAGAAGGAATGGAATGATACATAAGATTATAATAAGAGGCTCCGAGTTCAAAATTGCAGTAGTTTTGCTCATTTGCATTGAATTGAATCTCTAGTTGAAAACAGACTCAACAAGCAAGTTTGAGATATGGACAAGAATAAGGAGGAGAAAGAATTGATACCCCTTGATGTAAACCTTGAGAAGCCATGAGCATGAGCTTCGAACCACTCGTCAGTTCCGCTGACGTCAACGTCATTGTGTCCTCCAGGATCTTCCCTGATACAGGAAAAATAAATTTAAAAAAAAAAAAAAAAATCAGCTAACAATTTGTGATTAGGGTATGGCCATGGAGCGAGAGGGGGGGACCTTTAAATATGAGCTTTTGTCCTCTGGGGAGGACATTGGTTAGAGGTTGGATGAGAGATTTCAGGTCTTTAATGGTGGAGTCTGGGGAGATGGAGATCGGTATGGATCTTCCACTGAACTTAACATGGACGGTGATGGTGGGAGAAGAGTGACATGGACCACCATCACTGCTGCCACCAACACCTTCCATCCTTTTGATTCTTTCGTCTAGTTTCGTTTTCGACTTGCGAGCTTGTCCGAGAAAGGCCGACGGTCCAACTTCCAACCGAGAAACGATGGATGTATAATCGGCCTCTGACTCTGTTGATTTGCAGGCTACTAGGCTGGGAAAACGAATGATTTTGCTTGAATCCAACTCAAAATGTCATTTGTTGCTGTTGGCCGAGAGTCTAACGGAAAATCAGAATGAACGCCATTTTCCAACAATTAGGATTCAGTTTCTGGAAAATGTTTGTTTTCCACAAATATTTTACGTGCAATCAAAGGGCATAGTTTTCCACTAATGTTTGTTTTCTGCGTAATGCATAGCATACTACATATCAATGTTTTAAAAACCGACCACCCGGAGACCGAACCGTTTTGCCCCCGGGTCACGGGTCACCGGTTCGACCGTTCGGATTGAACGGTTCAGACTGTGACGTCATAATTAAAAATATTAAAAAAGAGAAAATATATGTAGACATATAGTATATTTATAAATATATAAGAGCTTTATATATATGTCTAAATGCAAAAAAATATATAGGGAAATTGTCCAAAACCCACCATCACTTTTTATGAATTCTCTTAAACTTATCACAACTTTTTAAAACGTCCACAACTCACCATGTTACTAACTTGACATTAAACAGACTAACGGGACTTAACACGTTACCATTTTACCCTTTATAGAAAAATATAAAATATAGACCTATATATTTTAATATTTTAACTATGAAAACAAGAAAAAAAAAAGGAAAATGTTCAAAAAATATTTTCAAATATAAAATATATAGAAAGACAGAAATTACAAAAAATAAAAAAAAACTATAGAAATTGAAAGCAAAATCAGAAAATAAAAATTGTAGAAAAACACCTAAAACTATAGAAAAAACACAGAAATTGCAAATAAGTAACAAAAAATACAGAAAAAATTATAGATCGTAGAAAATAGAAAAATGTAAAAAACAGAAATTAGAAAAAAAAAAACATTGACAATTAACAAAAGAAACTTGAAAAATATAGAGATTGGATAAAAACAGAAATTGAAAATATACATAAAATGATAAAAATTCAAAAATTATATCTCATAGAAAAAGTAAAAAATTGTAAAAAAAACACAAGAAAGTGATAAAATTTTCAAAAAGATAATAAACACCTACACAAAAATACATAAAATGATAAAAATTTAAAAATACCAGCTAAAAAAGTAAAAATAAAAAAAATAATTATATATTTTAGAAAAATCAGAAATTACAAACAAACTAATAAAATGATAACATTTAAAAAAAATAAACAAAAATTATACATTAAATCCGAAGATTGTTGCGACAAAATTTCAAAAAAAATTCAGACAATCAAATAAACAATTACAAAAATATTTTTTGCATAAATTTGTAGAACCTTCAATGAGGATTTACATTCCAGATTCAAAAGAATACATTGCAAATGTTTCAAAACATCAAAAATCTTTGAAATTTATGATTGTCTTCTTTCAAATCTTCAAACCATTAGATCGTCAAGATCCGAAGAGGGTGGTGCGGTGGTAGCAAGATCTGAGCAAGAGAGAGGGTGGTGCGGCTACTTTCAAGAATGAGAGAGAAGGTGCTATGGCGGTGAAAAGATCTGAGCAAGAGAGGGTGATGCAGTGACTACCTTCGAGATCTGAGCGAGGGAAGGTGGTGCGGTGATCAGATCTGARMGAGAGAAGGTGGTGCGGCGGCCAAATCTGAGCGAGAGAAAGGGTGATGCAGTGACTACCTTCAAGATCTGAGCAAGAGAATGTGGTGCAACGGCCATATTTGAGCGAGAGAGAGGGTGATGCAGTGATTACCTTCAAGATCTAAGCGAGAGAAGGTGGTGCGGCTACCAGATCTAAGTAAGAGAGAGAGGGTGATGCAGTGACTACCTTCAATATCTGAGCGAGAGAAGATGGTGAGGCGGCTAGATCTGAGGGAGAGAGGCAGAGCATAGAGATTGAGAGAGAATTTCAATCTAACCCTAACCTAAACGACCCTTTTCCCCTAATTTGCCATTAAAGGGTAATTTGGTCATGAAAAGTGTTATTTATGTTGACATGGCCCTTTATGTTAAGAAACATTAACGGTGCACTAACGAAAGGTGAGTTTTGGAAAATAAAACTCATCTGGCATGGTGAGTTTTGGACGTTTTGAAAAGTTGTGGTGACCAGTTTAGGAGAATTCATAAAAAGTGATGGTGGGTTTTGGACAATTTCCCAAATATATATATATATATATATAAACCAATTGGAATAACAAAAAACTAGCGAAGGGGCCTGCTTTGCATGGGTTGGAATGGAATTGTAACATTGCTATTTACTACAGCAATGGTTTCTTAATAAGAAACTTGCAATTATAAGTACTCAAGTCTTGAAACTCATATAAAAACTTAAAAGAGATCATCATGTGCTTGTTTCTTAAATATTGCTTTAGCAAAGCATCTCATATAAAAGAACACGATCATACAGTGATAGTTATGAGTTATACTTCATAATTGTCCTTTGTTTCACACCAAGAACTCACAGTTGACCCGAACGGTAGAACCATTCCGCTCGGGAACCGTCTAAGCAACTGGTTCCGTTTTACCCCAAACCTGGTCCTTGGCCAAAAATCGTTGAATTAGTTAATGACCCATTGACTCGAGCAGTTTAACCGTCGACCCATCGACCCATTCAATGGTTTTGGCCATTTTTTATTTTTTAATTTTTGTTGTCAGAACGGGTCATCCATTCGAACTGGATGGTTGAACCGTCGACCTAGAAACCGGTGGCCATAACAGTTTTGTTTCAGGGCCATTTTTCCTAGGTGTCAATAATTAGATGAAATAACTTTGTAGTCGTAGTCATGGAATGGTGGACATTGCAAGGGATTCCAAAACCTTGAAAGATAAATCCAAAATGACCTTAAACACATAAAAAAATTGGCGGTAAATCTACCAAATTGGAAAAACCAAGGAAAAGAAACCAAAAAATCGAGTCCAAATTTCTGCTTTGAGATGGAGCTAAATATACATTGCAATCAAAGAAAGAGACAAAATGAATCGTCTTGTAAGAAAATAAAAATAAATTGCACAAGAAAACAAAAAAACAAAACAAAAGGGAAGAAATAAAATGGTGGTAAACCCTATACCGTTTTGGAGGATCTTGAAGAAGAAAACCAAACACAAAACAAAAACAAAAGCAAAAGCAAAAAATGAAAAAAAAAAGAATATACCACACACACTCAATAAAAGCCCACAGTAGAAAAAATCTTCGAATAGTGAAAATCGAAAAGCATAAAAACCATGGTTTTCAAACCACTGTTGACCCAGACGAATGGACATTTCGGCCCGGGAACAGTCTAGGAAACCGGTTCCGTTTTATCCCAATCCTGGCCCCTGGCCAAAAACCGTTGAATCGGTCAACGACCCATTGACCCAAGTAGTGGAATTGTCGACTGTTTGACCCGTTCAATGATTTTTGGCCGCTTTTTATTTTTTTTAATTGGGAACCATCCAGGCAACCGGTTCCATTTTATCCTAATCTCGGTCCCTAGCAAAAAATTGTTGAATCGRTCAACAACCCATTGACCCGGGCAGTCAAACCGTCAACCCGTTCAATGGTTTTTAGTCATTTTTTTCTTTTTTTTTATTTTTGTTGTCAGAACGGGCCATCCGTTCGAATTGAACAGTCGAAATGTCAACCCAAAAGTCAGTGTTCAAAATGGTTCCATTTTCAGGTTGTATGAATCACACGCTCAAATGACAACACACGTATGGTACTGCTTAATGGACACACACTTATTTTTTTGCATGTAATTTTTGTTGTCAGAACGGGTCGTCCATTTTTTTTTATTTTTTTAATTGGGAACCATCCAGGCAASCAGTTCTGTTTTACCCCAATCCTGGTCCCTGGCCCAAAATTGTTGAATCGGTCAACGACCCATTGACCCGAGTGGTTGACCCGTTCAATGGTTTTTAGCCATTTTTTATTTTTTTAATTTTTGTTGTTAGAATGGGCCGTCCGTTCGAACCGAACAGTCGAACCGTCAACCCAAAAACCAGTGCCCAAAATGGTTCCATTTTTGGGTCATATGAGTCACACGCTCGAATGACATAACACATATGATACTGCTTAATGGACCTCACACGCTCAATTTTTTGCTTGTAATTTTTGTTGTCAGAATGGGTCGTCTATTCAAACCGAACGGTCGACCCGAAAACTAGTGGCCAGAACGGTTCTGTAATTTTTTGCTTGTAATTTTTTGTTGTCAGAACGGGACGTCCGTTCAAACCAAACGGTCAAACCGTTGACCCAAAAATCGGTGGCCAGAACGGTTCCGTTTTCAGGTCGTATGAGTCACATGCTCGAATGACATAACACATATGATAGTACTTAATGGACCTCACACACACAATTTTTTGCCTATAATTTTTGTTGTTGGAACGGACTATCCGTTCAAACCAGATGATCGAACCGTCGACCTGAAAACTGATGGCTAGAACGGTTCTGTATTTTTTTGCTTGTAATTTTTGTTGTCAGAACGGGCCATCCGTTCGAACTGGACGTTTGAACCGTCGGTTGTCAGAACGTTATTAACATTTATCATTAATAGTAAGTACTTATAATATTTTATTAAATAATTATTAATGATAATTTTAATAATATTATTTAGTTATTTTTAATATAACAGTAATTATTAAATTTATGAATTGGATTTATTAACAATATTTATTAAATTAATAATTACCAAAATTAAATTAAATTAATAGTATTTGTTAGTAATAGTCAATAATTATAATATTTTATTTAAATAATCAATAATAATACTTTTAATAACATTTTTAATTATTTTTAATATAACAATAATTACTAAATTTATTAACAATACTTATTAATAACAATATTTGTAACTTTAATTTAAATTAAAATTAAAGTAAATATATATTTATTAACAATATTTATAATAATAGTAATTATTAATTAGAAAAATTATCAAAAACGCACCATGAGTTTTCAGCATTTCTCTTAAACTCACCACAACTTTTCAAAATGTGTAAAACTCACCATGTCATTAACATGACGTTAAAGAGACAACGATAATTAATATATTACATTTTAACCTTCATAGAAAAATATAAAATATATACATATATTTTAATATTTAGACATGGAAAGAAAGGAAAAAAGTTCAAAAAATATTTTCAAATATAAAATACATAAAAACACAGAATTTACAAAAAAATATAAAAAATTATAGAAATTGCACACAAAAAAAACTATTTTCAAATTTCA